CCACATCAACTCTGTGGATAAATACATCAAGTTCACACGAGAAGATGTAAAAAATGGCAAGTTGGCTTTCTTGGACTGTGAGGTCTCAGTCTCGGATAGAGGACATTTGCAAACCGAGGTGTACCGCAAACCCACCCACACAGACCAGTATTTGCAGTTTGACTCCCATCACCCTTTGGAGCACAAGTTAGGAGTCATCAGGACTCTGTATCACAGAGCAGACAGCATCCCCACTAGCTCGGGAGCCAGGCAGAAGGAGAAATCCTACACAAAACAGGCTCTAGAGCAATGTGGATATCCTAACTGGGCCTTCCTGAAAGCAGAGAAGAAACCCAAACAGGACTCCAGTCAGCCATCAGGTGAAAAGGAGGAACCCAGACCCAGACCAGTGGTCATTCCGTATGTTGAGGGGGTATCAGAGAAACTGAGATGTTTATTTTCTAAACATAATGTCCCAGTGGCTTTTAAACCCCAAAATACATTACGGCAAAGACTGGTTCATCCCAAAGATCCAGTCCCCAGGCACAAACAGAGTAATGTTGTGTATGCTGTTCAGTGTCAGGAGGGCTGTGATCAGTCTTACATCGGGGAAACTAAACAGCCACTGGCCAAAAGGATGGCCCAGCACAGAAGATCAACATCATCAGGCAAGGATTCTGCAGTCTACACTCATCTCCAGGCCAGCGGTCACTCTTTCAAGGATGAAGATGTTCACATCCTGGACAGAGAGGAACGATGGTTTGAGAGAGGAGTAAAGGAGGCCATCTTTGTGAAAAGAAATCGTCCATCATTAAACAGGGGTGGAGGCCTCTGGGTTCAACTGTCCCCCTCTTACAATGCTGTGATTGCTAGTATCACTCAGCCCTCTGTGAGTAGTAAACAGCCATCAGTGTGCTAATGACCCATTGTTAGGCTGATGGTCCTTCTTGAGCATGTGATCAGCTGGTTTTGGTTGTCAGCAGCAAACTGGTTGATCCACTCTAAGAAGGTGCTATTTAAGAGATTGAGCTGAAAACAGCACCTCAGACTGAGGAAGTCTCTTGGATGAGAGACGAAACGTTTCTAGAATTTTTTTGCTTTGTTTTGCTTTTGTTTTTTTGAATGTCCAGAGGACCAGATTGAACTTTTTTGGATTTTTCTACCTGGATTATTGAGCATGCATCAAGATATTTGGTCCCCTTTATTCAGTTGATTTCTCTGATCATTTTATTTAGTAAACATTTTAAGTGGGAAGTGTTGTCTTACTCTTTACTCTTACCTTTTATAAAACGCTAAAAAAAACTATAAAAATCCATCCATCCATAACCTTTCCTGCTTTTTCCTTTTCGGGTCGTGGGGGGTCACTGATGCCCATGTACAGCTATCACTGTGTAAGAAGCAGGGGACACCCTGGACAGGCCTCCAGACAATCACATTGACACATAGAGACAAATGAGACAAACAAACATTCACTCTCACCTAGGGACAATTTAGTTACCAATCAGTCTAACATATATGTTTTTGGTTTGTGGGAGGAAACTGGAATACCTGGAGAAAATACATGCATGCACAGACATAACATGCAAACTCCACCCAGAAAGATGCCGGTCTGGGATTTGAATCAGTGCGAATCAGTGAATCAGTACCACCCTTTATAAGAATAAATAATAAGAATAAAAATCTGGCTTTTCAAACTGTGAAAATTTAATTTGATTTTCACCAATTATGCCACAGATGCATTAAACCTGCACAGCTCTGAATATATGTAATTTGAACGTTAGAATGTTAATTGCCTCAATTATTGCCTGGTTCTGTTAGGATGTCCAGAACAAGTTACTTTATTTTTGTATCTTAAAAACAGCTCACTTGTTGCATCTTCTCTTCATTCTCTCTAGGAAGTGTTGCAGTTATTATTTGTATGTTCATCCTTTTGGTCATCCTGGTCCTGGGAGGGCTGTACTATTACAAGTACAAGTAAGTCAAGTTAAAATTTCAAAATATAAAAACATTAAACACTACTTTGTTGTAAATTCAAACAAAGACAGGTTGAAATTACTGTATTTTCTGACTCTTCGTTGATTGATCAAAATGTTTGTTTCACAAATAGAGAAAGTTGTATTTTTAATTTCCTACTCAAACAAGATATATACTACATTAAAAAAACAGATTTGTGTTATTTATTTAATAATAAAATGAACAAATTAAAAACATTTTCAATGTTCAGAATTAATACATTTGCATTTAATTTTGAGTAACTTGAATATTCTGAGGGAATTTCCAAATCAACAAACTGCTAATTTTGCAGCGTATCCTCCCAAATGAAACTGTCCTGCAACCAGATAACAAAATTTAAAAGAAAATTCTAAATATTTTTACAGAATGGATACTTTTTTTAATGAGGGATGAAATAGTTTTTAGCTGTAGAAGAGTGTTAAAAGATATTAAAATTAATGATGAAAGTACAAAACTGAAGCAGAATCTTTACTGCACAGTAATTGTAAATATTTAGTACAGCATTTTTTTTTACATTGTTTAAATAATTTTGATTTCACATTATTTAAAGTACTTTAGTTTTTCCTGCTTAACTTTTTACACTTATGTTTTATTATTGTCACCTTGGAATATTTTTATTACTTATTTTTCTCATTCAAATTTATATATTTAATTTATTTTATTTTATGGATTTTATTATTTTTTTGTGTGAACTCAAACTGATTTATGTCTCATATTTCTTGTTCTAGACGACCATCATATGGTCCTCTGCTGGAGAGCAGTGACTACGGCACTTTAGGAAATTTCAGCAACCCGATGTATGACCCTTGATTTCAAGTTTTCAGCAATGTAATCAGAGGTGTTGTCTTTAGCCTAACTTAAATTATCAAAGCTGATGCCATAATGTATAAATAAAGGTTGATTGATAATCCTAACTGTGACAAAAAAATATGATTTAAAAATAAGTAAATTTAATATTTATTTTAATTTTAAAAATTTCCACGAAGATCACAAAGGTCTCCAACAGTTTGTGTCCTGTAAGCATTTGGTCACCATTTGTTTTAAAACCTGAACAAACACACGCACACACACACACACACACACACATAAACACATACACACATAAAACAAGTCCATAATCAGTATTCTGATCATGGCTGACTCAGGATATAAACAAACCCAGAATCAGAAATTGCATGCGTCCTGAACTGCATAATTTAGGCTTTAAGATTTTTGATTTTTTTTGTTTTTGTTTTGTTGGTGTTGTTTGTTTTTTTAAGTGCTATGTGTTGTCCTTATTGTATGTTCCCTACAATTGCAAAATTACTTCTCTGCATTTAACCCATTGCACCTGGGATACACCCAGATGGAGCAGTGGGCGGCTATGTAGGCACCCAAAGAGCACCATGACATGGGAATGGCTCGGGATTGAACCTGGGACTTTCTGGTCCGGAGTAAGCTGCCCTGCCTCTACCCAATATCAGCCCTCACATTTCTTTCTAGTAATGACAATAATGTAGTATCCTCAATAAAGACGTTTCAAACAACACAAATTGTGTTATGTTTGTTGTTAATTGTTGGTACTGTTGGCAAAAATCTGGTAAATAAAACATACACCCTGTTCTAATTGGAATAATTCATGACTAAAGAATTCATCTGGTTCCCTCTACTCATCCTCAGTGTTTGCACTGTGATGGTTCAGTACAAATACATTTACTCTACATTCTTATATACAAATTTATGATAATCAGAACTTGGTCCTGATAAGGATAGAGGTCCCCAGCTTTCGGTGTCATGTCAGCATCGGGTCCCAATTATGTATAAAAACAAGAACATACACACACACATCACTTCCATCATGTTCAGTTCAGTTTTATCATGACTGACTAGTCTACTTTCAGGTTAAAAACAAACCCAGAACTATTTATAACAGATCTTGACCTCAACATCCTTAATTATTATTTCTGATCACAGAAGTAGCAATAAACAGTGTAAACGTAGAATAATTTAAACAATGTGAAATGTCTTTTTTAAAGAGGCAGACAAACAATGAACATTTTTCTAAAGTTTCAGCTCACTTTTCAGTGGAATATGTCTGAACCAGCTTCATGTTTCCAAATTACATAATTCAACTTGTTTGTGACATTTGAATCGTGAATCTTTAACTTTTTTAGTTTTAATGTATTTTATCAAGTGATGTCTTTGATAATGTTTATAAAAATGAGTACATTTATATTTCAATCTAAGTTGGGTATAATTTTACAAAATTTAAACTTGAGAATCAGATAATTAAACTTTTGTATCAGTGTAACAATTGCTGAAAACAAAATAAAATCTTGTTATACAGTCCATTTTAAAGAAGGATCTGTTGTCTACAAACTAAAACTATATTACAATGTGTAGTTATTACTATAAGGTCATCAGTTGTTTTAGTTTTTTTAAACATCTTTGTTGACAACATTTTCTCCCTTTAAAGTAGCAGTTTCTCAGTAGTTTTTGGGAGTTAACTAAATAAAATGGACCTGAATTGCTGGTAAAATGGAAGTTTTAAGCTGATCCCACGAAAATGGAACAATTTAAAACAATAATAAAAATGTGAACATGAAAAACGATTTCTTAGCATAGGGTTAGTGGAGGAGAGGTATCAAAATGTCAAAACATGACTGGTTTAGAAAAAAATTAGGAATGTGTTTATTTTAATTCTGATTGCCCTAAAAGCATATTTAGTTGATCTTTGACGCTTTGTAAATTATAGTTTTGTTTAAAAAATTACTTAAAAAATATAATGGAAGATATAATTTATTTTACAATGATAGGCAATTTAGAAATTAAAATTTATTCTCAGATTAACGCAAATACAATTTTAAAACCCTAAGAAATCAATTAGCTCTATTTTTGATGTGTCACTTTAATTTTTAAATTCATACATTTTGATTTTGTGACATTTATAAAGTATTAACTTTACATCAGTGGTTTTGTTTTGCAGCTCAGCTAAGCTGTAGTGATGATTTAAATTTCCACTTTATTGTCTATTTGAGTCTGTGTAAAGAATAAATTACTTTTAATTTTAACATGTGACCCACATTTTATATGTGAATAAATAATTATTGTAATAAAAGTAATAAAAATATGTATTGTTTTCTTTTTAAGTAATTTCTCAAGGATTTTTGTCTACAGCATACAATTATGAATGGATTTTCAGGTTGTCATAAAATAAACATTCAGTGTTGATGATGAATTGACTTTATTTTATTTCCATTGCACTAAAATGTCAAACTGTGTCAGCTGTAACTGTGGTCTGTTCATTGCTAATCAGATTAGCATTCTAAGTTGACCAAATGAACAAACAATTAAAATGCATGCCAGTTTTTTTGTTTGTTTGTTTCAAATATCTATATTTTGTAGATGAAGTCTTTTTGCACTTCTGTCATCTGCAAAAAGTCAGAAAATTTAACAATAAACTTGAATAAATGTTTATGTTTTTATGGTGGCTTTATGGCTTTGAAAAACAAATTCAGCTTTATAATTATCTTTGTGTGAAAATGACTTGTAAACACAATATAAAGTTAGTTTTATTCATTTCTGTCTGAGTCTCAGTTGAGTTTGGATTTGTATTTATTTAGAAATTTGTTAGGGAAGAGATTTAGAGCGAGAAGGTTAAAATTAAAGGTCTGTCATCTGGGGAGCAGGACTGTGATCAGAACATTCAAACTATTTGATATCTACCCCATTTACACATTTCAAGTGAACTATTAAAAGGTTTTACAGACTGAAAGATGAAAGTCCTGGTGTTTGTTTTTTAAACTTACATTAATTTCAGTTGTATTATCACTGATGAAATGAACAGGAACATGTTTGTAAAATAACGTGTTAAACATCCTAACCTTTATCTGGAATTTCTTTCTAGTTTGATCATTTGTTCACAACCCAAATTTCAATTTTAAAAATTATGAACTCATGGTGTGTTTTCCATTTTTTGACTGTTACATACATTTCTGTACACAATTAAATAATTTTGTAAATACTGGTTTTACATTGAATAACATTACGTTCAGAAAATCCGGATCTGTGTCAGGATACAGATGTTCTGTGTGATGTCTTTATTTTTGTGCCTCTGTGGGTCAGAAAGCATTTATTAGTGGAAAGTTTAATCACAGTCCTCTCCCGTCTGTACAGCTACCACTCCTCTTCTTCAAAACTTTTCAAAATAAAACTCTTCTGCCCGCAAACTCCTTTTTCAAACATGCCAGATTCTTTGTTATTTGAATATTACCATTTTCAAATCCATCTGTATTTAATATGTCTCTCTTGGTCATTTAGCAAAATAAATAAATAAACAGATAATTTGGATTTTATTTTTTAGCCTAGAGCATTCTTTAACATAATACAAGTCACTGAAACTGCTCAGTTACTTTCAGTTCTGATTTTATCGTCATAAATAACTGATTTCTGATTGTAAGTGAATAAAAAATGTTGTATTATACCATAGATTTTAGAAAAACATAAATGACTTAAATTCACGTTTGTTGTTTTCATTTGCTGCACTAGCTTAAAATCTGCACATAAACATAGTCTTAAAACAAAAACAACTTTACATTTGCTGAAACATAATCAGCTGCCATGATGTTTCTGTGTTTTCTTTATGTCCACCCGACCAGTGCACCACGGCGAGATTTGTCATCATTATTGGGCAGCAGTAATTACAGAGGAGGCAGATTTTTATGCTATGCTGTTATTATCAGGCCCTAAATAGTCTGTTCAGTGTGTGTGCACGTGTGTTTTCTTTATAATTACGCTGCCAGCAGGATGGTACGATTATCTACAGCTGGAACATCTGGATCTTCTGAATTCTTCTATCATATATTAAACCAAGACAAACTGATAAAAAAAACACAGACTAAGAATAATGTGAATACATTTAATTTTTGTTCTTTCTGAGAGTTATTCGACAGAATTGGTAAAAAAAAAAAAAGTCACCACTAAGATGTGGTTTTCCTTTCAAAAGAAAAGCAAGAGTTGTACAGATGTTCAAACAGATCACTGATCTTTTGGAGAAACAGGAAACAACTCATAGTTTTTGATTGGCTTTTAGCTCTCAGCAGCGTGAAACCACAGATTACCATCACAATAACGAGTTCTGGGCTTGTCGGTTTACAACACTTTGGAGAGATTATATCCTCTCTGGGCCTAGAACACCTTGCGAGGAGAGAGGTCTGGGTTTTCCCTCTGGACCTGTTATCTCTGTCATACACGAATTTACATACATACATACATACATACATACATATATATATAAAGGTCCTTCTAAAAAAAAATAGCATATTGTGATAAAAGTAATTATTTTCCATAATGTAATGATAAAAATGAAACTTTCATATATTTCAGATTCATTGCACACCAACTGAAATATTTCAGGTCTTTAACTGTTTTAATACTGATGATTATGGCATACAGCTCATGAAAACCCAAAATGCCTGTCCCAAAAAATTAGCATATTTCATCCCACCAATGAAAGACAAGTGTTTTTAATACAAAAAACGCCAACCTTCAAATAATCATGTTCAGTTATGCACTCAATACTTGGTCGGGAATCCTTTTGCATGAATGACTGCTTCAATGTGGCGTGGCATGGAGGCAATCAGCCTGTGGCACTGCTGAGGTGTTATGGAGGCCCAGGATGCTTCGATAGCGGCCTTAAGCTCATCCAGAGTGTTGGGTCTTGTGTCTCTCAACTTTCTCTTCACAATATCCCACAGGTTCTCTATGGGGTTCAGGTCAGGAGAGTTGGCAGGCCAATTGAGCACAGTAATACCACGGTCAGTAAACCATTTACCAGTGGTTTTGGCACTGTGAGCAGGTGCCAGGTCGTGCTGAAAAAGGAAATCTTCATCTCCATAAAGCTTTTCAGCAGATGGAAGCATGAAGTGCTCCAAAATCTCCTGATAGCTAGCTGCATTGACCCTGCCTTTGATAAAACACAGTGGACCAACACCAGCAGCTGACATGGCACCCCAGACCATCACTGACTGTGGGTGCTTCACACTGGACTTCTGGCATTTTGGCATTTCCTTCTCCCCAGTCTTCCTCCAGACTTTGGCACCTTGATTTCCGAATGACATGAAAAATTTGCTTTCATCCAAAAAAAGTACTTTGGACCACTGAGCAACAGTCCAGTGCTGCTTCTCTGTAGCCCAGGTCAAGCGTTTCTGCCGCTGTTTCTGGTTCAAAAGTGGCTTGACCTGGGGAATGCGGCACCTGTAGCCCATTTCCTGCACACGTCTGTGCACGGTGGTTCTGGATGTTTCTACTCCAGACTCAGTCCACTGCTTCTGCAGGTCCCCCAAGGTCTGGAATCACCCCTTCTCCACAATCCTCCTCAGGGTCCGGTCACCTCTTCTCGTTGTGCAGCGTTTTCTGCCACACTTTTCACTTCCCACAGACTTCCCACTGAGGTGCCTTGATACAGCACTCTGGGAACAGCCTATTCATTCAGCAATTTTTTTCTGTGTCTTACCCTCTTGCTTGAGGGTGTCAATGATGGCCTTCTGG